TGCTTCAAAAACCACATTTCACATCTTTTCTCTTTTCCTCTAACCTGTCAAACTTTTGGTAGAATTCAACCTTCTTTCTTTTTTTTTTCTTTTTATAGTTAACCATTAATACTTGACCTCTTGAAATAAGATTTCCTTCTCCACCACTCTGCTGAAACTATATTCTTCAAAACCACAGAGGGCCCTGCTGTTTGACTTATTATCCAATCATTACTTTCAATAATGTTATATTAAAATGTCCTTTCTTTCTTTGTATTACATTTTGGGTAGATTCCTTCACTTTCTGGTTAATCAAGTCTGGTCTAGTTTAAAACTGAATCAGGCATAAGTCTGGCTAAAATCATAGAAAACCTGAAGTAACACTGCTGAAACAAAACAGAAATTTACTTCTGTCGTGTTTAAAAAAAAAAAAAAGTCTGGAGGTAGGCCAGGCACAGCTGGCATGACAGTTTCACCGTCATCAAGGACCCAGTTTCTGTCTTTGTGACTCACCATCCAAATACATCTACCTTCAAGTTCATTACAGTTCAAGACAGCTACTGAAGCTTCAACACTTCAGACAATAGGAAAGAGGAAGGGAGAACAAAAGGGCCCACCTCCCAGCTGCATCAATGCCTTTTAAGCAGCCTCCAATTTTTAGGATCCCACGTAACGCATTTCTTTGGCCCGTAACTTAGGCACTTTGCCATGCCCAGATGGAAGGGAGTCTGGAAATATAGTCCTTTCATAGGTGCATGGACATGCCAGGTAAAATGGAAGAAGTTCTATTATTAAGGAAGAAGGAGAGAATAGAGTCTTGATGCCACTTGCAATTTCGGCCACAAACTACAATTTCAAAATGCTTTAAAATTTCAGCCTTTCCTCTCTCTTTTCTCTTCAAGATATACCTCCTCTGACCTGTTGGTATAAGGAGGAGAGGAAAAGGGACAAGTGCAGTGGCACTCTTAGGCCCAGACTAGAAGGCCAACTCTGGTAATGCCTCTCCTCCTGTCAGGTTGGGGGGTCCACAGAGCAAAGGAGATTTGCCCAAGAGCTGAGAAGTGGTCAAGAGACAGCAATTGATAATAGAGATTGGATGTTTGGTTTGAGCTAAGCCCGTCAGGATCCTGGAAAAATGAGAAAGTCAGAGTAGGAAGAGAAGGGAGGTGAGCCAGGATTCATGGTTGGAAGACAAATTCTGCCACAATCTGGTGTAAAATTCTGAGGATTTCAAAAATTCTAAATTCAAACCTGATTTTTCATGTTGTTTTGCAAATTTATTTGTTAGAGTAAGAGGCTGAAACATATTTTATTTAAAAGTTTGTTAGTTTGGGGGCGCCTGGGTGGCTCAGTCGGTTAAGCGGCTGCCTTCGGCTCGGGTCATGATCCCGGGGTCCTGGGATCGAGCCCCATGTCCGGCTCCCTGCTCAGCGGAGAGCCTGCTTCTCCCTCTCCCTCTGCCTGCCACTCTGCCTACTTGTGCTCTCTATCTCTCTGTCAAGTAAATAAATAAAATCTTTAAAAAAAAATAAAAAAATAAAAAATAAAAAATAAAAAATAAATAAAAAAAGTTTGTTAGTTTGATTTATAACTTGTAGATTTGGAGACATATGGTATGTGGGTCTGCGGGCTGCCATTTGTACTCTTGCCCTGGGCCCTACAAATGATCTGGTGGACCTGTATAACTGTCTGCTCAAATGAGAAGGACTGCAGCTCTCACCGCCTATCTGGTTAACATTAACTAGCAACTGAAGTTCTTAGCGGCAGGCATCCAAGTGCAGGGTGTCTCTTTGGGTATGCATTTGCATTTTCCTAGGACTACTTCTGAGTGTTCACTCACATGTGCCCTCACATGGGGGAATAGCTCTGGCTTGGCCACTTCAAGGGCCTCTTCTGTTCCCATTCTCAGCTCTCCATCCCGTGGTCTCTTGATGCTAGGCCCCTCTTGGTGGTGATAGCTCCCTTAAGTGGGGTATTGCCAAATGGTTCAATCTCAGTTCCTTTCTTCAGGGCCCATCTAACAGGAAATACTCATCTCTGCTATGAAAAAATAGTGGGACTTTAGGCTATTCCATAGCCTAGCCCCAATCCCCGCTTGATATCTCTCTCCAGTTTCTTTCCCTTTTCTCAGATTGAGGCCCCTGCCCAAGAATACATTCAACCAGGAAATCAGCTTCCCTTCCCAACTCCCCCCATCCCCGGACTTTCTTGATGTTGAGGATGGAGAAAAAGCACGGCTTCCCTGTGAGAGGAACACACAGCCACAAGGCTGGACTCTGGCTCTCCATCCCCTCCCTCTTTTTCTGTGAACTAGGAAGAGAGAGAGGGTTGGGGTGGTGGCTAGTGGCAACAGGGCTAGTATTGTTGTCTCTTGGTCCTGAGGAAGATGGTTGCAAAAATTGAGGTCCTCACCTTCATTGTCCCTAGCTGTGGGCTGTGATCTCCAATTCTGGAGCAAAGGAGAGGTAGGTAGCATTCAATAGTATCAACCTAATTTACCAAACCTTGATCCTTACTTCACTGCTCTGTCTGAAAAAATTTTATCATTGTTACATCTCTCTTCTGAAAACATTCTCCTTTGTTCTGCGATTTGTACTGAGTTTTCCTATTTCTGTGTATTCTTTCTCTTTCTCATTTGCAGATTATTTCTTCCTATTTCAGTGTGATATTTAAGATACCCCTAAATTGAAATCAGCTATTTACATCTCTGTCTCACTTATTAGACTGTAAGTTTTTTTGAGAGCCTAAAGTATTAGTTCATTTATTTTTGAGTGAATGAATGAGTAGTTAAGTGAATGAATTCAGGACACAGGCATTAACCCTTCTTATTTCATACTCTCATTCTGGAAACTCATTCACTCAAATGGTTCAAGCTATCCCTTTTTCTTAAATAACTATTATATCAATATCTCTGCTTTGATATCTCTTCTGAGCTTCAGATTTGCATCTCTAGCTTCTTGCTTCCATTTTCACCTAGATGTCCTGCAGTCCCCTTAAAATTTATATATCCAAAACCAAACTCATGATCATTTTTCCAATATCCAGATCTCACTTTACTCTTGTCCATGCCTTTGTCACTCTCTTTCTCTAAAGTGTATAACCTTGGAGTTACCACTTTGACCCCTCAAGTCTTACCAATTTTTTTTTCTGAAAACAATAACATATCACCCGGAGCTCCTGGATGGCTCAGTTGGTTAAGCATTTAACTCTTGATTTCGGCTCAGGTCATGATCTCAGGGTTATGAGATCAAGCCCCATGTTGGGCTCCTCGCTGGGCATGGAACCTGCTTAAGATTCTTTCTCTCCTAGGGCACCGGGGTGGCTCAGTTGTTAAGCGTCTGCCTTTGGCTCAGGTCATGATCCCAGGGTCCTGGGATTGAGCCCCGCGTTGGGCTCCCTGCTCAGTGGAGAGCCTGCTTCTCCCTCTCCCACTCCCCCTGCTTATGTTCCCTCTCTCACTGTGTCTCTCTCTGTCAAATAAATAAATAAAATCTTTAAAAAAAATTCTTTCTCTCCCTCTCCCTCCGCCCCTCTCCTGCCTTCCTCTCTAAAAAACAAAACAAAAACTTAAAAAAAAGTTACCTTATCACAATTATTGTGATTCCACTTATATGAAGTACTTAGAAGAGTCAAACTCATAAAGACTGAAAGTATGATAGTGGTTGAAGAGATGTCAGAGAGTTATTGTCTAATGGGTATAGAGTTTCAGTTTTACAAGATAAAAAAGAGTTATAGGGATGGGTGGTGGTGGTGGTTGCACAACAGTATGAATATACTTAATACCACTGAACTGTACACTTAAAAATGGTTAAGATGGTAACTATTATGTGTATTTTACCACAATAAAAAAAGTGAAACCAACAAGCTACTTTATTATAAATGTTAACTGTAAACAACTTACAAACACAAAAAAGACCATCTAAAACCTGTTAACAATTTGTCTTAAGAGACTTCTCTTGATGTGTACATAAATACATATATTTTTCCACCAAAATGAGATCACAAATATAATTCTACTTGGAGTCTGCTTTTTTCAGTTGACAGTATGCCATAAGCATTTTTCCACGTTGTTAAATTTCTTCCTACAACAGTGATTCTCAAATTGTGGTCCCTGGCAGAATCAGCATCACCTAAGCACTTGTAAATGCAAATTCTTGCTCACCGTTCCAGACCTACTGAATCAGAAACTCTGGGATAAGCTCAGTAGGTTGTTTTAACAGGCCCTTCAGGTAATTCTGACATACTCATAAGTGTGAGAGACCCCGTTTTACAATTGCAACTTTTAATGGGTGATGCTATTCCATTGAATAGCAATGCCACAATCTTCTTAAGTACACTGCTACTGTTGGATATTGAGGTTATTCATTTATCACTATTTAAATAATACTCTAGTGCATATTCTTGCAGGTAAATTTTGAAGACATCCATGAGAGGGAAATAAACCTTTACTTAATTTAAGCCATTGTATTTAGGAGTTCTTTTATACAGCAACTTAGCTTATACCCCAATATACCATCTTTACCTCTAACTTACAGTTGACTTCCAGTCAGACTCTGTAGTCTAAGTCTCGCAGACCTATGATTCATCTTAACCAGTATTTTCTTATTAAGCTATCTGAAACTGTATTTTGCACAAACATCACCACCCTCCCCTGCTCAGGAACTACTGTTTATTCATTCATGCATTCATTATTTAAGGTACTATGCTAAGTATGTTTTAGTTGTTGTCTGAAGTGATATAAAAAGAATCAGAGTATAGACACAGCCCTTACCTTCATGTGCCTTTGCAGCGTAGTTGGAGAGATTGGTAAGACTGACAATCAAATATTCACACAAATAAATATAAAATGACAACTGTGATAATTACAAATAAAAGGAGCATGGTGCTAGGAGACATATAAAAGAAGGATTTAATTTAGATAAAGAAATCAGGGAAGGCTTCTCCAACAAGTGTCAAATTGAAATATGAGGATGAGTAGAGATTAACTACTATAAAGGGGAGAGATGAAGGCACCAGTGAAGGCAAAGACCCATCAGAAGGAGAAACGTGGTCATTTTGAAGAAGCTGACAGAAGACCAATGTGGCTGGAGCAGAGATTGGGGGATGGTACTAGATGAGTCAGAGAGATCAGTAGGGTCTAGGTTGTGCAGGGTCTTATAGGCCATGTTAAGAATGTTTGTCTTTATTTTATGAACATTGAGAAGCCATTAAAGAGTTGAGGTTTGAGAGTGGCATAATCACGAAATATGTGCCGGGATGGATTAATTAACTAAATAACTAATTAATTCTACCTGTAGATTTTTGCTCTACTCCATTCATATTGCTTGGACAAATCACCCACTTTCAAGTCATGAAGGACTGCACAAAGGATACTGACAATGAGTGGCTAAAGATATAGGAGGAAAACTAGGAGTGTGTTATATCAAAGAAACCGGTAAAATTTTTTTGGAAGGGGGAAGTAAAACAGGGCAGAATGATCATTAGTATTCAATGCTACGGAGAGATTAGGTAAAATGTAGATTGAATATCCATGGCTTCCCAATGCTTATAGGATAGAATCTAAATTTCTTACCCTGGTATTCAAGGTATTCTGGTATTCAAGGTATTCTATCAGTACCTACTTTTCCAATACTTTGTCCCATGACACTGCTAAAATGAGCCTTTTAGATAAGGTGCCCTGTAGATAAGATGCCCTATTTATTTTATCTAGAACACACAATAGTACACTCTGCTGACCTATCATCTTTGGATGTATCTTCTGCCCATCACCACTTAGCTAAATCCTACCTATTTTCTAGGCCCTAATCCTATTTTGCCTCCTCCATGAAGATTAATGTGGTGGCTATGAGAATACACCTCTCAGATCTCTGATTGCAGTGAGCATTATTGACTGGAGGCCCTAGCTACTACCTTCTGAAATTCATCACTGTGTTTGCACTCTGCTTCCCATGGGCTGCTCCTAGCCAATGACTGAGCATGGCAGAGATACTAAGGCAGGCCCATTCCTGGGAGATACCAGAGTCCTCTGACAAGTGACTGAGAAACCGCAAACAGCCTTGTCAAACTTGCCTTAGAATTGCATGGGGCATAAGATGCTTCCATCCAAACTTCCTTCCTTCCCTCCTCCTTTCCTTCCTGCTTTCCTCTTTTCACTCAGGGTCAGACTTACATTGCAGTCTCTTGGCTCTCCCAGCCTCCTTTATTTGCCTCCCCCTTTCCTCTTATAGGCATTTCCTCTAATATATTTCTTGCATAGTTAATCTTGTCTGGCATCCATTTCTTAGGGACCCAGACAAACACAAGTGGTACTGGGAGTGGCCCAAGAAGAAAGTTGGTAAGATAGGAATTTGGACTGCCTCATCTACTGCCCATCAGGAGAAGAGGATGTCACCCTGGTTAGTAGGTGAGACATAGATAGTTTCTGGCACAAGGTGGTAACTCAACTGCTAAAGATTTCACTAGTGTTAACCTGGGAAAATGTCCCAGTGGAGAGGAATGCTGTGGCAGATGTGATGATGTAGGCATTTGAAAAACATGGAGTTGGGGGGAGGGACAATTCGTACAAAGATAGTAAAACTGGGTGATCACTACTAAGTTGTATTGATGTCCTGCAGAGAAATCATGAGGGACTGAGGGCCATTAATAAGTAGTTTTTGGTTAAGTGAGCGAGCCACAGGGCCTTTGGGATAGCTTACAAAGAGACCTTTATCTCTGTCAGGGGAAGGGAATGCACAGCTGAGTGGCAGGATGAAGACCTAATTGTTAGAGCAGCAGAGCCCCAGAGACATTAAAATGCTCAGTCAAGGCAGGTCTAAAATGACCTAACAGCACTGAAGTACAGCACAGAGGCAGCAGTCTGGAGGGAGGAGCAGGCCCCTACAGGACACAGTGTATGTTTTAAATCACAGACCTCTATATATTGCTATGTCCTCAATAGTAAGAATATACGAGCCTGGGAACCAAGAGATAGAAACAGGAGTGACCCTACTTATATCACACCAGATGCCTCACTGAGGGATTTTGTGCTTCCTGTCCCCACAACTCTTGACTCTGCAGGATTAGAGGTCGTAGTCCTCAAAGAGAACATCCTTTTCCAGGGGATATAGCAAAGATCCCATTGAATTACAAGCCACAGCTGCTGCCAGAACACTTTGAACACCATGTGCCCAGGAACCAACAGGCGAGAAGAATTACCATCTAGCAAGGGTAATTGACCCTGGTCAGCAGGAGGGAAGATATGGAAGCCAGATAGTCCACTTTGGTGCCTCCTGGTATTCTCTTGCTTTGTTGTAACCATGAATGGACATAGGAAGCAACTCCGGCCTAAGATAGGTATGATTACCAATGGCTCAGACCCTTCCAGAGTGAAAGTCTGGGTTACATCACCAGGTAAGTCACCAAGACCTGCCAAGGTGAGGGGATTTGAGAACGGATAGTGAGGGAAGGAGAGAATGAGTACGAGTTATGGCCCTGAAATCAACTGCAGCAAGAGAAGCTATAGTTCATTCCACTAAACGCTCTTTTCTGAATTTCCCCTTGGGAAGAAAGGCCCACAGGAAGCATGGAGGAACTGCTTCCCAAACCTGTGGGAAGAGGTAGATCTGCGTGGGTCAAAGGGTAGGCTATGGTGGCCATGAGAATGTACCTCTCAGATCTCCACCTGCAGGGAGTGCAATTGACCAAGGGCCCCAGCTGCTGTCCTCTGAAATTGATGGCTGGTTCGCTCTGAGGCTACACATCTTGCAGGCTGCACCGAGCCAATGCCTGAGTGTGGCAGGGAAACTGCAGTGGGTCCTTCTTGAGAGATGTGGGACTCATCTGATGAGTGACTTTGCTCAAGAAGTCCTTGATGGTCTTGCTCCACTTTCCTTAACCTGCTCTACAGTGTAAGATGCTTTCCCTCAGCCTGCCTTCCATTTTTTCCTCTCTCCTTCACTCAGGGTCAGATTTACCTTATGTTTGCAGTCTAAAGTCTCTCTGTTTCTCCCCTGGCTCCCTCCCCATTTTCTTTCACAGGCATTTACCCTAATAAATTTCTTATACATTCAATCCTATCTTGACATCAGCTTCTTGGAGAACCTGGACTAAACACATGCCCTAAGCTCCCAGGTGTCAGTGATAAGTTCTCACTTTGAACTCATAGTACTTCCCACCTACCTGACATTTCCCAAATGCTACCAAGAAAACAAAACTTATGTTTCTATGTATATATCTTCCCGATTAGTTTAGAAGTGTCCTGGAGATAGTTACCATTATGTCACCTTTGCTAACCTCTGCACTTCACCAAGTGCCCTGTACATAGAAGGAGCTCAGCTCAACCATCATAGGAAAGGAGCTGTCAAGGGTGCTGAGTTGTTTAGACAATCCTGCACTCCAGAATTAATGTTCCCCACCTATTTCAGTTTCTCAGTGTACTATCTCATTTCCCACTCCCCAGGCACCTACTCAAAATGGTTCCTCATCTTCTCAGGGTCCTTTAATCCCCAGGTCCCTGCCCCACTCCCCATATATTTTACCACACACATTGACCCAGCAGAGGCTGTGGCATAGACAGCTATCCCTCCACCCAAAGTTTGTGGATTCCACCCACTGCCCCCGCCACACACATACCTTCTATAGCGTGAAGTCGTTGCTAAAAGGTGGCTGGTCAGCCAGGGACTACATTCCCAAGCTTGACCCCATATCCAGGGGGTAGCTGGGGTCTTTAAGAAATAGAACTCTTGGGCGCCTGGGTGGCTCAGTCGGTTGAGCGTCTGCCTTCAGCTCAGGTCATGATCCTGGAGTCCCGGGATCGAGTCCCGCATCAGGCTCCCTGCTCAGCGGGGAGTCGGCTTCTCCCTCTGACCCTCACCCCTCTCGTGCTCTCTCTCTACCATTCTCTCTCTCAAATAAATAAATAAAATTAAAAAAAAATAGAACTCTTCCTCTACCACTCTCCTTCATACTCTCCAATTGAATACAGAGGACTCTAGGGATGATGAGGCCACAAGATGGGAAAAGCCTCTGACCCTGAACCATTACATGGAGGAAAGCTGCCCGCCATTCAAAGAAGCACCTACACTGGAATGTTTCATGAGTGAATAGTAAGCTTCTATTATGTTAAGTCATAGAAATGCAGGGGTTCGTTTGTTACAGTTGCTAGCGTTATCCTAAATAATACAGAAATCATTGTCCCTTTTTTTGGCTACTCCTGTCTTAACTCCCTTTCATTTAGAGGAAGTCTCCTATTATGGGACTCGTGATACCAAATGGGTTAGATCCTTCTCAGGTGACACTGTGGGGTCTGTTACTTTGTCTCTAAGAATCTGATGTATTCCCACTCAAGACTATGAATGTGGAAGCAATGCAAAGATACATGACAATATAGAAACCATTCACAGTGGTGGTATGGCCTTGAGAATCTAGGGGTAGTAACAGCAAGGCCTAGCAACTGTTGTTTTAGGTCGATGTCCTAACCAGACTGTTCTTGTGGTATGACCTTGGCTGTGTTTCCCTCCCTCTAGATTTACTTGCTTTTCAACATTTTTCTTCCAGCTTTCTTGACAATTTCTTCCTTCCAATAGTTAATTTTCTTCTTTAGATATCTAGAATCAATTTCCATCTACACTATCCTTCCCATCTGCACTGGACTCTCCTCCCAAACTGAAGTCAGTAGGATTACTATTTATTAAGCACCTGATGCACACCTGGTACTGTGATAGGCACTTTACATCTGCTATCATACTTAATTTAATTCTTCCAAGTATTCTATAGGGTTGGTATTACTATTGCCATTTATAAATACGGCAATTGTAGCTCAGAGATGAACTGATTTTCCCAGTTATGCTCTTGTGTCACTTGGAATTCAGTTTTGATGGCATCAAAGCATGTTTTTACATTGCATGAGAAATGCTTCACCAACTTGTAATTACTGCAGTGCTTCCTTCTAGGGTTTTTTCTAGCCTATGACCATTTGATTCTGTAAGTGAAGACTATATCAACACATACTTAGTCCTTTCCCTTTCCTCCTTCCTTGCTTTTTTTCTCTCTCTT